GGCAGTTGGTGTTTGTTGGTTGGTGTTTGGTGTCTTTAACAAATGGCAGGTAGGTGAAGATATTTGGGCATGCCTGATGGTCATATCCAAAAATTGCATACCCATCTTGGCCTTTCAAGTACATATGATAGATTTAATTTAGAATTATTATTGCATCAGAGATACATTACATATTTGTGTTCACTGCAGAAAGGTTTTCACTACAGATTGGTATTCACTACTTAAACATTGTAAAGGTGTTCACTACAGAAATATTTCAATTACAAGTCCACCCGTGTAGCTCAGTAGTAGCGCATGTACCTCTTACGCAATAGGTCCCGGATTCGATCCCCGGTTCAGGCAAGACTAAATTTGCTTGTTTGCGTGAAGTACTTCAGGGTGTTTGACTGAGTGGTCCGCAACTCGTACAAAAGGCTGTGGTGTGTACTTGTATGTCTATGTATAAGTTCACATAAAAGAACACAGGGCTCCTTCAAGGAGGGGTTTCTGGGTCTATCTTCCATGTTAATTACGTAAATTACGACCGTATATATACGGGACATACCCAAGAGGTATTGCTCACCTTCATTGGTGGTAAACAAAATACAATACAAGGAGGTGTTGACAACAGAGGTGTTGTTATAAGTGACACATGTTAATAAATTACCATAGGTATTGTGATTATTGACAGGTGTTCTTTAGGGAGATACATGTATTTTCATTAGCAGCTATGTGTGTTCACACATCAATTACTCTGATGCTGACTAACATGATAGATCTTGGGTCTATTCTCATCTTTGGTCCAAGATTATTTCAATTCTTTCCATAGCTCCGATAGCGGAACCACGATCTTGAAGGATGGTCTATTCTGTCTACATGCAGAAAAAATATTCATCAGGATATAATATGTGAACATTTCAACAATTAATCTTATCAACGAGTCTGGCTTCTTAATCCTGGCTAGAATGAATGAATGAGTTCCTATCTAGAAAGAAGACTTTTTGTAAGCTTCCCTTTCTCCTTATGCTATCTCATTTTGAGAGTGCCACAGTAAAGGTTTGTACCAATTTAGCAATGCAAAACTTGTATCTGCATTTGAGGTCACTCTCTGCCAAAGCAAATCATTATGCTATGTTAAGTTCGTTTTTGTCTAAAAAACCAAATGAAGACCCTTTTAAGACAAAAACAACAAATGAAGAGCTTTTTATAAATTATAACACAAGACTTCATAACTGATTAGGTATTTCATCTTTATTAATATACAAAAATCTTTTAAAAATAACATTTCTTGACCATATGAATTCTTTTGCTAGGTAAGGCTACAAGTCTGTCCGAATTTCAGTGGTCAGAATTCATATACATATTATTATCTATATATGCTATCTTATCACGTACAGTAAGTTTGATAGTTCACATGTTAATGTACATGTCACTTAGTTTTTTAGTGCAAGACAGTTGTTGTTATTATTTTGGTCAGCAGCCAATCTAATTGAAATATTACATTTGACATGTGCATTTAATCTCAAAGATTTTATGATATCAACCAGTATAACCCTAATCCAAATCATCATCTAACAGCTCTGTACAATACTGTTTTAATGGCACTTGCACTAAGCTTTTACAATACTGTTTTTCTGTTTTTGCACTATACAATACTGTTTTAACAGCACTTGCACTATACAATACTGTTTTAATGGCACTTGCACTATACAATACTGTTTTAACAGCACTTGCACTATACAATACTGTTTTAACAGCACTTGCACTATACAATACTCTTTTAACAGCATTTGCGCTATACAATACTGTTTTAACAGCACTTGCACTATACAATACTGTTTTAATGGCACTTGCACTATACAATACTGTTTTAACAGCACTTGCACTATACAATACTGTTTTAATGGCACTTGCACTATACAATACTCTTTTAACAGCATTTGTACTATACAATACTGTTTTAATGGCACTTGCACTATACAATACTGTTTTAACAGCACTTGCACTATACAATACTGTTTTAATGGCACTTGCACTATACAATACTGTTTTAACAGCACTTGCACTATACAATACTGTTTTAATGGCACTTGCACTTAGGGCTGTGCCGGAACCGGTTCGGACGGTTCGGAATCGGAACCGGAACTTGGTCTCACGGAATCGGAACTTTCGGAACCCCTTTTGGTTCACAAATGAAAATAATTATGTATGAGTGAGTTCGACGGCGATCATGACGATATCGTCGTCCAAGTTTGTCAGGTTAACACTTACCTTTCCTGTCAAGCAAGTTTGAATGTTTTTACGAAAGAAATAGACTCTAAAATCTGTAAAAAGAGAGAAAATTCGATCTTTTTTCTACTTGTTTTCACTTCCGGCTGCTCTGACCATAATGCGCATGCGTAATTGAAAAAGTTTTGAAACGAAATCAACGAAATTGAAAAACTGTGAAACCCAAGGAGGATTGGGTCCCAGAATGCAACATCGATGCTCTCTCGATGTTCTTGATGTCTTGATTACAAAATTTGAGTTAAAGTTAAAATGTAATTAATTAACGCTGTTAGATTGTAAGACGTCATGGAAAAGTAAATTTATTCATTTATCTATGAGTATTTTCGCCCCGTCGATTCCTACTTCCAATGAAATCCGAAGGTCAAAGTTCGTAAAACAAAACTTGATTTCTGTTGATTTCTCCGCTATTTATTTTGTTTATGCGAGTAATACACATGCAAATTGGATGTAGTTTGAAGGAAAACATCACTGGAGGAACAATGGTCACGGATATTAACGATTCAAAGCAAGTACTAAGGTAAGGGTCCGATATTGTTCCGAAACCCTTCGGAACATGATATTAAAATTCCGAATTCCGGTATTTTAACAAAAGTCCGCGGTTCGGACCGATTCCGGTCGAATGGCACGGCCCTACTTGCACTATACAATACTCTTTTAACAGCATTTGTACTATACAATACTGTTTTAATGGCACTTGCACTATACAATACTGTTTTAACAGCACTTGCACTATACAATACTCTTTTAACAGCATTTGCACTATACAATACTGTTTTAATGGCACTTGCACTATACAATACTGTTTTAATGGCACTTGCACTATACAATACTCTTTTAACAGCATTTGCACTATACAATACTGTTTTAATGGCACTTGCACTATACAATACTGTTTTGAAAGCACTTGCACAATACGTTTTAAAAAACAGCAATGTAGGGTACTGTTTGAAATCATAATTTTCTGACAGTTAAGTTACCTTTTAAGAAATATAGTGTTGAAAAATATGATGAGTGTCAGATACGTAGTCTACTACATGTATATAATGGGGTAAATATATATTAATTTGTCATGGGAGGTTGAAAATATAGACTAAAGTGAGGACAGAAACTGTTTGTCTTTTGATATTATTTGTCCCAATTTGTTAAACATATTCACAAAATCATATATTATTCTGAATAAATCCCATATCTCCCATAAAATGACATATAGAATAACCAATATTGGCATCAAGGTCATCAACAAGCAAGATCAATAGGATAACCAATGGTGTATATTCAACCAAAATGACACGGAAGAACAAAGTAGCATGCATGTATAATTTCATTCTATAAATCATGAGTAGATTAATTCATTCCCTTGCAGTTGCAGTATAAGAGAAAAAGTGCTTTGCAATCATATTTATTTGAAAGTAATTTGCAAAATTATTTCATATTTATCTAATGATGATTATACATGTACATGTAGCTGATAATATATATATTAATAAGCTTTTGTGATGTTGTATACTTAACGTGTATATGTGAGTATTTTTTTGAAGTAATCATTTAGAAAGGTGAAGTTTTCTCAGACAAGTTAACAGGGGTTTCACTAGAATTTCTTGCAACAGGCTAAATGAAGGAAAACAACAGGCAAAATTAATGAAAATCATAAATTTAACATGGAAAAGTTGACAAGTCACTAAAAACAATGGGCGATTTTGTGAAAACAACAAGTGAAAATCACCTGTTGCCTGCTGCTAATGAAACCCCTGAGTTAATAATCTCAATTTGCACACATCTCAAATTGAATACCTTCAGTAAGTTCTAGCAACTTGTTTAATTTAGATAGGTTTTACTGTATATGTAATAAACCTTTTGGCTATTACATATCATAACACAGACATAGCCTGCCTTACCAGAAAGGAATGAGGTCATGTACTTCTCAATGTGAGTTTTACCTCACCTTTGCAATGTTTACATAAGACAAGTTTTACTGAACTGGGTTGTAACAAAAATATTTAACACATACAATAACTAATAATACTGTTTAATGGTACCCTGGATCTAGCGATAACTCCAGAAACACATGATATACCTATGAAGCTTTATATACGAGGATAATAAAAGAACTGCAATTTACCTAAAAAGTAATCTGTAACGAAACAATTTAGAGTCATGTTTTCGCATAAATTCTTTTAAATGTTGACGCCCTTTTATGCTGTTTATTTATTTTCGGTGTAAAATGTGTACATATCATGTACTTTTCATTCTCTAACTTAGGAATATGAATTTACAATTGTATTCCAATGCTTGACAGTATTCTCCCAGGCATTTAAACAACGTGGTGTTATGCCCTGTTTAAAAACTTAGATTTATGACATTGATTTAAGAAATCTTGACCAAATAAGATCAAGCAAATATGATAAATGACAAAATGTGCTCATCTGTACTCACCACTTTTTGGCAATTCCAAAAATGTAACCATTTGTTACATAATGTAACGTGATTCATGTATTATACTATGTAATGTATGGAGGTTAATTCCAGTGCAGACCTCAGTGGTGAATATTGACTTCAAAAATATAGTAATATTTAGCGAGGGATATTGGTACTGTTTTGAGTCCACAAAAAATCAAAATAGAATTGCCATTATAGCTGCAAAATAGTTTAAAATACTTTTTGTTATAATGCTATTAAAACATGATAATAATATATTTTCAAACTTTACATGGGGCCTTTAAATTTTATTACAGACTGTCTCTTCAAGATATGTCCTATGAACCGATATTCTGCCCAGAAGCAATTCTGGAAGGCTACAAAGCAGACCAGTCACACCACCAGTGCAACTGATGCTGTCCTGCTCAAGAAGCTACATGTAAGTACTATGGGTTCCAAGATACATTATCTTATGATTTCATGTATATTTCAATACATGTATTTATATACTATTAGGTTAATATGAGATATGATGTTTTCATATACTTGTCATGAGCACATGGTATGTTAAGGTGGCCAAATACAGCTTTGAAGTAAAAACAGACCCATTTTGTGAAACTATATTAAGAAACCATGAAGTCACCTTTATGGTGGTATACAGCGGCGTGACCAGGATTTTGAAAGCAGATATGCAAGGCCGAAGGCAGAGCAAAACTAGGGGTGTGTTCTGAGCAATATCAGACTGTGTAATGGGGCACTATCCATCATTTAGGGTACGCAACTGCGTACCCTCGCGTATGCTTGGTTACGCGCCTGGTATACTCTGCTGCTTTTTGATCTACAAAATTTATGATTATGAGTTTATTAAGCTGCTACAGTTAATGCAATAAAAGAGATGAAAATTACATCTGGCATATTGCAGGCACTTAATATTATAAAGAGGAGGAGGGGTACCATACCTGAAGCTAGCTAGGGAGAATAAGTTGAGACAAATGTTTGCGAAAATTTTAACCATATTTCTTCAGAAAAGATATGTCATTGCATGAGCTCGTCAAGCTCCCATCAGCTACAGGACTGGGTATTTCCCTGTAAAGGCAACCTTTCATCTCAAGGTCACTGTATTTATTAGGATGATGCTAATCATATCAGTTTAATTATTTTTTATCTGACCTCAATATATCCTAAATATTACTGTTGTATGATATAGAATTTTGAAGAAATCAGTATGGCATCTTTAAAAAAGTCAGTTTGTTCGCTGGGTCATGTTTTAGGATCTTCAATGGCAATATTATTCGCATCAAATCTAGTTAAGTCATCTTATCCTCAAGTGAGCGTTAACAATCCTCTAAGAGTCTTTATTTGTAGTGAAACAATGTTGTAAGCCTGCAGCGAGATGTTCATTTGCAATTTAATACACAACCGTTCAATTATATAAATGCCTTTCAGTTTTTATGTCAATAATCTCTGTTTTCTTGTCTGTGTTTGAAACATGAATGTCGCAAAACAATGATGTTGGAGAGTGATTAGGTATAAGTGTACGGTGGAAATGTATATTGATTCAGTATTAATACCATGCTTTAGGCGAACCATAATGGCTTACCAATACAAAAGGATTGCTTGTTTTTTATATTTTAGTGTTCTCTATTATATACTTTACAGTACACTGTTTATTGGTACCATTTCTGTATCCGGGATTCAGTATTTTGGACCCTTATTTCACAGGAACTTGTATCATAGTGGTTTGTATCAGTATTTGATAAGGTGTACATGGTTGTGTGTATTCTTAATTCACAGGTGTCACCATGGTTGTGTGTCATCTTAATTTATAGGTGTCACCATGGTTGTGTGTATTCTTAATTCACAGGTATTACCATGGTTGTGTGCCATCTTAATTCACAGGTGTTACCATGGTTGTGTGTCATCTTGATTCACAGGTGTTACCATGGTTGTGTGTCATCTTAATTCACAGGTGTCACCATGGTTGTGTGTCATCTTAATTTATAGGTGTCACCATGGTTGTGTGTCATCTTAATTCACAGGTGTCACCATGGTTGTGTGTCATCTTAATTTATAGGTGTCACCATGGTTGCGTGCTATCTTAATTTACAGGTGTCATCTTAAAGGAATTATAAGGGATAGAGAATATGATATAAAAACCATGTCAATATTTTTCTTACAATCCTAATTTGGATTTCTAAAAAAATAATGAAGATTTATCTGGTTTCAAATTAAGGGGTATATAGTAAAATTAGGGCTCTTCACTATAGATCACACTACCCTACCTCGATCGCGCATGCGCGAATCTTTTGGCTTTCAAACATGTCGCTTTTGAGTATATCGACTGCTTAGTCAAAAGGTTAATACGTTTGGTGCTCGGAGTGAGTCAATATTGCTATTCGCTACACTTCAGTGGTGCAATAGTGAAGTCCATGTTCCAAGTTATATGATAGTTGAAGAAATAATGTAAATAATATCGTTTTAAATTTTAAAATATTTGATACGTCATAGTACACGGTACACAGCTGCAAAAGTTGATCAATACAGGGTACAAGGAATGTAAATTGTTCAATAGTACAGGGAGCGAGAAAGTAAGCTGATTATACAGACATACTATGTCCCGACCTCATGTACATTTACGTTGCAAACAGTGAAAGTAATGCTAAAAAGGCCGCCCGTTGATGCTTTGAGGTGTCATCAATTGTTATTTAATCCAAATAAAGTAAACATTATTTTGTAGATTTAGACACGGGCTTTCAAGTCGTATGCAATTTAGTCATTAAATCAACAAGAACGCTAGATTATATGTGTTACTAGGGTATCAACTTGAAATAAAATAACGAAATTAAATATCAACACGTTAATGATAAATGACTATCCGCTATCAGTATTAATGACTATTTGCTACTCAGAATAATCAAAATTGCCTGAACTACATATGAAGAATCTTTCTATAGAACCCCTTGAATGGTCTAATTCACTACCGTCCTAAAAACCCGACCATTCAAAATGTTTTGTTCAAATTCACAAAAATACAGTTGACTAACATACTAGAAAACGTATCCACCTATAACACGATGACACGCAGTTTAAATAACAGTTAACTGTTTTTTTGTTACATATCAATGTAACATTTTCGAAGGGAAACTTACATGCTCCCTGTACGTTGATAGATTTACTGAAATGTATCGTGTATTGCATTTGGTTTTGCTTCACTGCGCCCACTATTATCTATCTTTGCCTATAGTGTTTTTTTGCCAACAATATTCTACACACTCCTTGATGAATCAATTCTATGTCTGGTAGAACACTAGAAATAAATGTAAAATGTATTTTACGTTCAGAAATATGGAATTAAACCCACGTCCTCCATTTGCAACTAAGCTGTACCCTGTTTCCCTTTTAAACGTGGTCACGTGGTAGGGTAGTGTGTAGATAGTCAATGCATTCCCAAAAGTTTTTTGTGGTTTCCATTTATAGAATTGAACAGATTTAGAGCTTTCCATTGGTCAGTGTTATTTTTAACCTGTGATACCACAAGTAGTTTATCTACAAAAATAACTTAAAGTCTCATTGTATTCTGAGGAAAAATCATATGTTATCTTTTCATATCACCCAAGTTCAAAGACTGTATGGAGTGCAGGCCCGTAGCCAGAGGGGGAGTGGAGGGATCAGCTGCTCCCCTGGCCAGAAATTCTTTCAAAATCATGCAGTTTTTCACCATTCTGAGCACTTTTCGCATGATTTTTCTGGCCAAAAACTGTCAAAAAGCTCCCACCCCTTGGCAAACGCTCCTCCTTGGTAAAACCGCTCCCCAAGGTAAATCTTGGCTACTTGGCTAATCTATAGTTCTCATAAGAATACATTTAAAGTTTCTCAAAATGTTATGATACATTTGAAAAAACATTCACAATTGTATAAATGCATTTCAATGCCTGTTAGATAAATTGTTCTATTTAGAATTCCAACATTTCCAGGGTTTTATAGGTTTGGTACCTCAGAATGTCAGTTATATCCTGAAAGGAAAGTTTTACATCATTTTACACTTAAATAAAGTGGGTTCTGATATTCTGGTTAAGGCATTAGGAAATATATCATTAGGTCTGAAGTAGCCCCAAAACATACTTGTTCTTTACATAGCCCATAAAGTATAAACAATAATTCCTTGTTTAAGCATACCTTTACAATTCGGTGGAACTTTGTATTCCCCAGTTACGTTTATGCAAATGCATTTTTGGCTACTATTCTAAAAAGCAAAATAGAATTTCTATACCAATTTGGGAAAGAGTGAGACATTCTATATCAAACCTATAGCCTGAGAACTTACTAACTGTACTGTACTAGATAGACTTCTAAACAACCCCAGTCTATGTTCTAACCTATTACCGTATTCTCTGTAATTACCGCCCACTCTCTAATAAGCGCCCACCCCGCTTCACAAAGTTCAAGAAACATCGAGGAATCAACAAGAATTGAAGAATATATCAGGAAAAAAATATTTCTCAAAATCCAGGAGCGGGCGATAATAGAGTACTTACCCTAAAACTGCTGTAAACATGACGCGTTTTGTAATTCTATGCATCCTCTCGATACATATCTATCGATGGGTGCTTCCCACACCATACCATGCTAATATTGTCTCCAAATAGTCCATAATGAATGAAGGAATTGTTCTTTATCGGCATTCAGAAATTTCAAAAGCTACTGCGCAGATGTTCTGCGCATGTCAAGGTCGTGAACTTTCTGGTTTCTTTTTAATGTTTCTCGACTTTTACACGACTTTTGCACGAATAATGATGATCTCTCATCAAATTAGAAATAATGTATAACTTTAGATCGATATCCAGCAGTCTCTAGTGGAAATATTGAAGGTAATCGGCGATAATGACAAAGTGGGCGTGCCGGAAATAAATTAGACATAGACGGGTCTTCAACCACTGTCAATATTGTCTAAGCGATCTTTACCGTATTCTCTCCAATAACAGCACTTGTCATATTATTATAAAAATATGTTGAAGAAAATGCATTCTTGTCAAGAAAAATTGCCATACATGAAATTCCTCGGGATTTCTGATTTCTTTCATACATGTACATGGGCGCTTATTAGAATGGTCTAAATAATGTATTTTCAATTTTCTAAACGCCCTGGGCGCTAATTACAGAGAATACGGTATGTGGAATTTTAATATAAACAGTTTATCTCCAAATCGGTTCCTATGTTTGCCATTCATGTCTTAAATGAATCAACAGGTAGAATTGGTATCATTTAATCCCCAGTGTTGCCAATTTACTTAACCAGGGGTGTATTTTAGTACAAGAACATACCACTTGGAATCATAATGGGATAATATGAACACTATAGACTTTAGAATTCTTATTATTCATATCCTGAAAACATCTCATTGCTTACAGTGGACAATCTATGAGTACCCTGCATTCATT